TTGAATTTTTAGAAAAATAATGGCTTTATTGAGATATAATTCACATGGAATATAAAAGTGGACATCTCAGTAGTTTTTAGTATATTCACAAATATATTTGACCTTACATATTCAATTTTAGATATTTTTATCATCTCAAAAAGAAATCCTGTCCCTTAGCTGTCACTCCCTTGTCTCCCCCTGCTAACCCACTTTCCACTTCCAAATCAGCTTGCTCTGCACGTTTTATGTTCGTATAATCACATAACATGTAGGGGACTGCGGACTTCGTTGTTAATGTTAATTCATGTTAAAACCCTCACCCCTGAATGATGGGTCTTGGAGGCAGGGTCTTTGGGGGGAGTAATTAAGGTTAAGTTAGGTTGTGAGGCTAGGGTCTTAGTCTGACAGCATTTTGTCCCTTTAAGAAGAGGAAGGGACACCAAAGAGTTCTGTCTGTCCACATAGCTGTGTGAGGAGACAGAAAGCTAGGAACCAACCTCAGATGGTTGATTTTGGACTTCTGGTCTTCAGAACTGAGAATGAATTCCTGTTGTTTGGTGTTTAAGCTGAAGTCTGTATTTTGGCAGCCTGAGCAGATGAACCCGTGGTCTCTTATGACTGGTTTTCCTCCACTTAGCGTGATGTTTTAAAATTTCACCATATTATAGCACATGCCAATATTTTGTTTGTTTTTGTGAGTAAAATAGTATTCCATTTCATGGACATTCCACATTGTTTATCTGTCGGTCAGTTGGGGACATTTGGGTTGTTTCCTACTTCTGACTCTGAATAATACTGCCGTAAACATTTGTGTCTGTGTCCTCCTGTGGATGCCTGGGGGTGGAGTTTCTTGATCAGATGGTGATCCTAGTTAAGCCATTTGCAGAACCATCAGGTGAACATGGTGTTCACTCTTGACCTTTTAATAGAAGTCCAGAAGTATCACTTAACTGCACATAAGCTATCATTGGGTTCGTTTTTTAAAACGTTTTTAAGTTAATAGTCAAAAAAATATACTACTGCCAAGAAACAGAAGTCAGGCTGAAATTGTTAGCCTAACAAATCCTAGAACTGGATGATGGGTGAAATGTAGCATAAATGCACAGCTGACTTTGCGCAAAGATGAGGGGAACCCCGGGCAGCGTGGGGATTCGGGAAAAGGCGGGCTGGTTGGTGGCAGCCACACAGGAGGAGACAGAGCCCTGGTGGGAACAGCAGGCGGGGAGCTGAAAAAATTCGGACCATGCAAAAACCTCAACGAACCTGCTCTGCCAGGGAGGCAACTAAGAAAATATTTAAACTGAGCTCTGGATGCAAGGAGGGTTTGGGGAAAGTCTGTCTTGAGAATTTGTAACTCAAATGTGTGTGGAACTTACTTCAATCTGGGAAATTAATGTGAAAGCCCGCCCCCCTCTATGAGTTAAAATAAAGTTGCAAAGCATAGGAGAAAGTTCACCATGAAGTCAGTACATGCTCCAAGCCACAAAGTCAGACCCCAGAACTTCAAATAAAAGGATCCTGGAAGAGGGTGTTTCATTCCATCCAAAATGATTAATGATAGATAAGGATGAGGAACACTTTGGAAAACCCAAGACATTTTACAAATAAAAAAATTGAACAGCAGATTTGACATAGCTGCTGGAGATTCACTTAAGCAGATGGTATATCTAGAAAAATGCAAAAGTTTGAACAAAGATAAAGTGACAGAAAATAATTGAAGTTTTTAACTGATGTATGGAAGAAGCATGCACTTGACCAACATACCTGCAACAGAAGAACTAGGAGAAAACAGCAGAAATACTTGATGAGATGAAGGCCAAACATTTTCCCAAATAGGCCAGAGACGATGTATATCACATTTTAAGACAACCATTTCTAGAATTCAAATAGAATGTAAAATTTCAAAATAATAAAAGAATTGGAATGGAATATGCAAATTAACATTCTAATAGAAGGGGGAAAATGAGATGCATATAAAATTGGAAAATACAAAATACAATGGTAGAAGTTAATCCAGATAGTCTTATAGAATAGTTTAATTGTAAAATCAAACTTTCCTATCACAGTATGAGGTCCATTAATTACGCTCTGGTGGTTTACAGTAGACATATCAAAACACAGAAACATAAAGGTAGAAAATAGAACAAAAGTCATGAGAAAAATTCTAACAACAAAAAAAGGAATGATTTAGTAATATCAGATACAGTAGGTTTCTAAAGCAGTGTTGTTAGATTAAACAGAGCTATAGAGCTATTTCTAAAGATGAAAGGACCGTGTCACCAGGAATATAATTCCAAATTTGTATTGTTAACACCATCTCAAAATATGATAGGTACCTTAGGGAATTATAAGAGAAATTGACAAAACCGTTATTATATTGGGAGATTACAATAAAAATTTCTTACTGATAAACAGGCAAATCAACAACAGTATAGATTTGAAAGGCAGAATTGACTAGCTGTACTTAACAGTCTCGGTATCTGACAATTATGGAATGGACCATCCTCCTGGGCACATGGGAAGTACTTGTCCTCTTCCCTGCCTAAAAATAAATTTCGTTTAACATAAGTCTCATCATTTAAAAAATACTATCAAAAAGAGGATGTTCTTTGAATTTTCTAATCTAATTTTAAAGTGAAATTCTTAAAGGTTAAAAAATAAACTTTGGAAATTTAAACAGTTGAACACTAAAGATAGAACCAACTAATAATGGAAAAAGGAAAATACTGAACAAGAGGGGAAATGTGTGCACATCAGACTGGAGTGGCATGGCCAAGTGGTGTGTTTCGTATATCGTCGCACATTTGTGTATTTCAAATGTTAAGAGAAATTGCAAAGTTAACTGACCAAAGATTTATACACAGAGAGCAAATATAAAGAAGTAAATACAAAAGAACCAAATGAAATAAAGTCATGAGAATGAAAATTAATAAAACTCATACTGGCTGTTTGAAAAGACTCAATACACAAGCTACTGGCAAAATTAATCATAAAAACCCCACAATGTGATAAATGTATAAGGGGATATTACAGAAAGAACAGATGTGTTTTCAAAGAAGACTAAAAAGGCAGTTGCTTGGAAACCGTTGAAACAGTTTTCAAGAAGTAGCAGTGTACATAGTACGTGCCTGGGCAAGGTTGTTGGATGTTTAATTTGTAGAGCCATTGATTATGCAGATAACTAAAATGACTTCTTGTATCATGTATGAGGTAAGTCTGCCTGGATTGGAAACCTCAGTGAAGAAGTCAGCTTTATAAGAACATACAGTAGAATGATTGTCTTGGCCAAGGAAATGATTTCCTCAACCAGCATGGCACAAGCCATAGAAGAAAATTGGGAAAAATTTGACGACAGATTAAGAATTTCTCTTTACTCAGCAATAGCTGCTCATAAGGACATTTTTCACAATAAATTCAAGTCCAGAGGCAACTTAGTGAGTTAGCAGAAATATTTAAAGTGCTTACCTTTTTTAAAATGTAGAATTTTTTAGGGCAAAAGTTATATAACAAAATCTCCATATATTAAAGCATGTGGTTTATTTGTTGTGTGTGGGGGGGTATGTATAGGGATTGAACCCAAGGACACTTTACCACTGAGCTGCATCCCCAGTCCTTTGTTTTTTTGAGACAGGTTTTTACTGAGTTGTTGAGACTGGCCTTAAACTTGCCATTCTCAAACCTCAGGCTCCTGAGTTGCTGGGATTACAGGAGTGTGTCACCATGCCTCATTGATTTGCATATTTTGAATGTAAACATAACCCTATTCAAGATACTAAAAGTTCTCTCCAGTTCTCCTTGATGTTTTTTCACCCTTTAGTCATGCAAAAGGAATCACTCTCCCAATTTCTAGCACTATGAGTTAAGTTGTATTGATTCTGGAAGTTTACATGGGTGGAATTTCATGTGTCTGGCTCTTTTTATTCAATATGTTTTGGAAATTAATTCATGAAATGTGTCGGGTAGTGCACTTTTTAAACTGCCAAGTAATGTTCTCCAAATAGACCACAATTTGCTTTAAGAAATGGACAATTTTTTTTGCAAAGTAATTATGCCCTTTTGTATTCCTAGTATTAATATCTGAGCAAACTTTTTAGTTAGGATATGAGCAGACGATATACAGAAGAGAATGAAAACAATCAACTGAAATGCACTTAAAGCCACGAGAACCATAGTACGTGCCTGGGCAAGGTTGTGGCAGTGGAAATGCACAGTAGCCACTTTGTAAAGCAGTCTGGCTGAAGGTGTGCTGGGAAGTCCCTGCTGCTACAGACTTGTACCTGTGTGCAAGGGACATGCTAAAAATGTACACAACTTTGTTTGAAAGTACCCAAAATTGGTACCTGCTAAAATGATGTCTAGCAAGGTCCATAAACAAGAAAATAGATGTGTCGTTGTACATAGATACTATACAGTGTATTAACACTGCTGGAGCTATCTCACACAGTATCAAAAACAGATAACAGAAGTGAATGTGTGGATTACAGTTTGCGTAATCTGAAACTGTTAAACATGCAAAACAATATATGTTTTCCAGTAAAATATAAGAACATGCATAGGAACAATATATAACAAACAAATCATGGGGTGTTTTCTTCAAAGAATGGGAGGGACTAGGGAGGCATAGAGTTTGTTACAACCTGTAATATTTCACTTCCTAAAAAGTTGGCGGCAGCCCAGGGGTGGAGGTGGGGTAGGGTTTATGGGTGGAATTTGGGACAAATGTTTGTCAACTGTTGTGAACAAAAGGTGGGTTATTGTCATCTGTGATTATCTGTATAATTGAAATATTTAATTCATTATGTTAAGATAGTTCTTTGATTACCACATGGGTTTTTCTAGTCATTAATGTGTTGTCTTTTACTTTTGGATTTTCTGTTGGTGTGCTTTGGCCATGTTTTTATAGAGGCTTGTTTTTTTTCATATTGTTTTAAATTATTTTAATTATAGCAATGCTGGGGATATAGCTCAGTGGTAAAGTGCCCCTGGTACCAAAAAAAATAAATGCATAAAGATAGTAATTTTGTTAGTGTAAGGTACTTTTTACTTTAATATATTTGAAACTTATAATTAAGTATTTATACATAGTCTTTGCTTAACCAGGTTTTAACAAACCTGAGAATAGATAAATGTTCCTGGATATTTTCAGCTTTACCCAGGTAATGTCACATGCAAGATGAGTTCATCATATTTAAAGGTTAGGACCATGCAGTCAGTCCTCTGCCCTCCTGTCCCAGCCCCATTCCCTCCAGCACCCCTGCAGGGGGCAGCTGGCTGCACCTGCCACTCTTTCTCAGAGGCCTGTGGAAGGGATTTGGTTGGTCAGCTTCTGACCTGCTATTCTAGCATGGTGCAGGCTATGGCTCTCTTGTTCCTCTCCTGCTTTTCATCCTTCATCCTTAGAATGTAGTTTTGTGTGCATCCATTTGCAAATCGGTTTTTTAAAAAATATTTTTTTCTAGTTGTCAATGGACCTTTATTTTATTTATTTATATGTGGTGCTGAAATTGAGCCCAGTGCTTCATACATGCTAGGCAAGCACTCTACCACAGAGCTACAGCCCTAGCCCTTGCAAATCATTTTAAAATAAAGTTTTATTATGTCAGTATTCATATTGTGTTTCTGGAAGTATTTATAGCTGAGCTTCATCTGCTATGATGATTATTAGCTTTTTGTTTTTCCTGAAGTAAATACTGTAATTGGTTTTTTCTTCTTCATTTGCAACCTTTCCTTGGTACCTGTTGCCAGTTCTTTTTATGCCTTTTAAATACTCAAGACAGCTTTCCACAAGGTCAGGCATGCGAGGTGGTCTGAAAGCTCCGGATTCTTTCTTGGCAGTCTCCTGGCTTATCACTTATCCCCAGGCCCATGGGCACCTTGTGGATAGAGCTTGCAGACTCCACTCTATTGACAGGGAGTAGAATCTTTTTTCCACAGGTTCTGGTCAACATGTAGGCAAAGTGTTGGTACTGAAATAGAAGGAAATATGTTTATATTAGCCACTGTTTGCATTCGAGGTGCACATTGATTCCCTTAACTTTTCTCCAAGTCACGTTTATAACTACTGTACTAGCGTACACCAGTCAAACCAAGCACGGGGAGCTGGAGTCCCTCCTTCTAAATCGAAAAAGGGGCAGACACCTGGAGGGGCTCAGTTTGTTGGCCTGGAATTGTACAAACGACTTAAAGAATTTTTGAAGAATTACTTGACAAATCTTCTTAAGGTAAGACATTTTACATCTCTATTGCACATTTATAATAGAAGGTAAAGAGGAAATGGTAATTCTACCTTAAATGCTCAGTTTTTCACTTTGCTTGCTCATTAAATGTTTTAGTATTGCTTAATCTTTTATCTCTTATAATGATGAAAACTCTATAAAGCATGTTTTTATTTTTTTAAATTAGAAGTTTTGGGCATCCTTATTATCATAATAATGTTGTTCCATAAATTATTAGCCAGTTTGTATCTGGTGATTAGAGATTGATGAGCCCTAGCCAGGCATGGTGTATATGCCTGTAATCCCAGTTACTCGAGACGAAGCAGGAGGATTGTGAGTTTGAGGTCATCCTCAGCAACTTAGCAAGACCCTATCTCAAAATAAAAAGGGCTAGGTAAAGTGCTCTTTGGTTAGTCCCCAGTACAGTGGGGAGAGATGAAGAAAGAAATTGATGACCCTTTTCATTTCAAGCATATAATTACATATCCAGATATTACTATATTCTGAGCCCCATATGATGTTGTCCATGAAAATGTGTAAACAGGCTGGAGGTGTAGCCTAGTGGTAGAGCACCTGCCTAGCATAAGGAGGCTCTGGGTTAACCTCTGCCACTGAAAAAAAAGTAAACAAGGTTCTTTATAGCCTTTGACAATCACATTGTTAAAATGTGATCTAGCTTTTGTTGTTGTTGTTGTTTGTTCTGTTTTTTAGTTTATTTTACAAGCTCATCGGAAACATGCATCATTCTAACACTGTAGTCAGTTGACCACAAACAGTGGTTCATAGTAGTACCGCTTGCACGTTCTCCAGAGACTAAGGTCTTCCTACAACCACTTTGTTTTTTCTATTCACAACACTTTATAAATTGGATATTGTAATTACTTATTTTTTGTTACCAAAGAGCATGACAGTGTACTGTATTATGTAAAAGTATTGATAGCCAGACCATTAGTGATATTTTTGAATTTTAAAAAAGGTCTATCATAAGCCAGAATAGCCTAGCTTTGCTTTTAAAGTTCATTTCATATTAAGTGAACAAAAATTTGGTTGTGTTTAGACATGGTCAGGTGTTTGCGTGCATGGTTGGGTCACCTGAGTACAGTTACTCATGGAGCGTCCATTCTGGCAGCCTTGGCCTTCCCGCCTTCGACGTTGCCCTGGCCTGAGTGCGGAGGCGCCCCTCCCCTCTCATTCTCCTCTTCAGTGCTTTTCTGCACAGCACCTGGAAATGGTGGTGCTGCGTTTTTAAAGGGTAGGACATACTTTTTAGATTCCACTAATACATAGGGAAAAGTTTCCAGTTAGTTTTCTTCAGATAAAAATAGTGGTTTAAGTTATAGAGATCTCAGTAAAAATACTTAAGAGTAAATGTACATTTTCTTCATGAGGTCTGGTTAAAGAAGATATATCACACTATTGTACTTATTTTACTTTTATGAAAATGGCAACAGATTTCCACAAAAGGCTATAACTTTTTATAATCTTTAAATAAATTTAAAGATGGGAAAAGCATTTAAAAATTGAGCGTCATGTTTTGCCCTATGTTCTTAGTTAATGTGACATGTTAATTCTTTTAACAGGAAAATTATCAAGAATAGAGATGATTTTAAAGTTAATTCCTTATTTAAAAAAAAAAGAAGTAGCCATCAGATTCTTAAAGTTTAGAGTACTTTTTGTAAGTGTATATTCATATTTAATGCCATAGGAAAGGTTCTAGTTTAATTTCATGTGAAAGAATTTTTTACTGTGTTCTTGTGAGAATCTATAATAAGTTAGTGTGGTTTTGTACACAGAGTGATTTAAGAATCCTTTTGTATTGGTGTATTTTGTTTCATTAGCTTTTTCTTTGATCTGCATCCAACAGTCATCTTAAAGCTTTAGTGAACTTGTTTTCAGGATGGAGAGGATCTGATGGACGAGAGCGTGCTGAAGTTCTACACTCAGCAATGGGAAGATTACCGATTCTCAAGCAAAGTGCTAAATGGAATCTGTGCCTACCTCAATAGACATTGGGTTCGCCGTGAATGTGATGAAGGACGAAAAGGAATATATGAAATCTATTCAGTAAGATGTTTTTTAAAATATTTAAAATGTTTCTTAATGATACGTTGTCTTTCAATAAGGAGAACCAGGCAAATGTTAAGCTGTTTTCAGAATATTTATACTAATTTTCTTTATCAATGAATGACTCCTCCATACTTTGTGACAAAGTAGAAGGATGAGAAATGGAGTTATAAAATACAGCTTACACAGTCTGCACTTACTTTTTAGAAGTGTATTCTTTAATGGTTTAATCACCATCTCATTTTGCAAATCAGGCTCCTTGCCTGAGACTCAAGCCCTAAGCATGAGCCTCACACACTCTCCTGTCTGGGAACTCTGCTTCCAGGAGAAGACCTTGAATTAATCATGAAACCACCCCCATCAATACATTTCTTCAGTCAGTGAAGGTTTTTTAGGCCTATTGGTTTTCAAAGTATGTTTCTCAGCATAATCTGGAAACTTGCTAGGAGCACAAATTCTCAGACCTTGTCCTAGACTTGATTGGACAGTCTACAGGTGGGGCCCGACAGTCTAGTGTTTTTAGTTGTCAATGGACCTTTACTTTATTTGTTTATATGTGGTGCTGAGAATCAAACCCAGTACCTCTCACATGCTAGGCAAGTGCTCTACCACTGAGCCACAACCCCAGCCCTATGACAGTCTTGTTTTAAGAAGCTCTTTAGGTGATTCTTGGCACAGTCTGAGAGCCATTGTTGTAAAGCAATAAGGTAGTTTTGGTGAGGACAGCAGGACAGTCATCCCTTTTGAACAGTGCCCCTTTTGAACTGTGGTTATGTAAGGTTTTATGTATGTCCATACATAAAATTGTTCCTATATTAGCAATATTTTGTTGCTTCACTGTTGCAAATTTAATTAAAGCATAATGTGGCCCAAGGCATGGCTAATTTTTATTGTTTATATAGCTGAGTTTCGGCATCAAAATTCTTGTTGTATCGTAGTGGTAGTTTTGTTATATACTTAAGTTTTTAACAAAACTTTCTAAGTTTAGTTTTTATTTGAAGTTTCTATACTTTCCTTTTTCTTTTGTTCTGTACTCTTTTTTTTTTTGACAGATTACATATGTTTACCATGTATTATAACTTAAGTTTTTAACAAAACTTTCTAAGTTTAGTTTTTATTTGAAGTTTTTATACTTTCCTTTTTCTTTTGTTCTGTACTCTTTTTTTTTTTGACAGATTACATATGTTTACCATGTATTATAACATGGGTTTTTTTGTTTGTTTGGTGCTGGGAATGAAACCCAGGGGCACTTTATCATTGAGCAACATCCTCAGCCTTTTTCATTTTTCATTTTGAAACAATATCTTATTAAGTTCCTTAGGCCTTGCTAAGTTGTTGAGGCTGGCCTTGAACTTAGAATCCTCCTGCCTCACCCTCCTGGGTTGGTGGGAATATTGGCATGTACCACCACACCACAACTACCAGATGTTTTTTGAAATATATATGCATTGAGAAATGGTTGAAGTGCTTTTCATTGTCTTTCATGTCAAAATGCTTTCTTGAGACTCCCAAGTTGGCAGAGTAAGAATCAGCATGGTTTTGGATGACTTCATTTTAGAAGTCATAAAATGACAAAGTCTTGACCTAAAGACCATGTATACCGCATAGCAACATATAGACTTCTAAAAGTACAAGGATACTTGATTAAGATTCAGCTGCTGCTGGTCACAGTGGCACATGCCTATAATCCCAGACACTTGGGAGGCTGAGACAGGAGGATCATGAATTCAAAGCCAGCCTCAGCAAAAGCAAAGTGTTAAGCAACTCACTGAGACTCTGACTCTAAATATTAAAATACAAAATATGGGTGGGGATGTGGCTCAGTGGTTGAGTCCCCTGAGTTCAATCCCCAGTTAACCCACCCCCCAAAAAAAGATCCAACTTGCTTTTATTATTTTTAATCCACTTTCAAAATTTGTACTTCCTACATACACCCTCACATGCCATAGTTACTGTTCAGAAACGCAAGAGAGGGCCATAAATTCTAGCAAAGACCAAGTCAGCACACCTCCTTAGAAACAAGGTTCCACTGTGTGCTGTGCCAGTGACACCGCAGAATTCATACAGAAGTTTGATCTCATCATATGTCTCGAATCTCCAGAAAATGGGGCTGCTTGTCAAGAAATCATTTCATGACTACTTGTGAAGTTTTACTTTTTTCTGAATGATTCTTCATTTTTTTTTAATATTTGTTTTTTAGCTTTAGGTGGACACAATATCTTTATTTTATTTTATGTGGTGCTGAGGATCGAACCCAGTGCCTCACACATGCCAGGCGAGCGTGTTACTACTTGAGCCACATCCCCAGCCCCTGATTGATTCTTTATTTTTTAACTGTAGAAAGTTTCTTTTCAAGTCAACCAGAGGACATTCGTTTAATTTTCTAGTTGGTGTATTCAAATGATGCAACCAAACCGATTCCCTAACTTGCACTGGAGTTCCGGTGGCCTGCTGCTGGTCCTGCTTCCTCTCCCTGCGCGGCTCTTCTCCCTTAGACCCACCTCAGGTTAGGTCTAAGGGAGTGGTGATTTCAAGTTGCGCTTTTTGGTGACCTGTCAATGCTTTTTAGACGTTTGTGTCTGCTACAGACCTTTCCGACTCTCCTCTGCCCTCAGGAAGGCGAGGACAGCCAGGACTCCACCGTGAGGGGCATTTCCAGAGTGCCTCCTCCCTGTGTTTCTCCAAGAGGAGGAGTCTCTTCATTCCGGCATTGTTCAAGCATCTTAGTCATAGCTCCTAATGATGAAATCTTATTTTTTCCCCAATATTAGCCTTCAGCATATATTTATTGTTCATGATTTGTCAAAAAATTTTTGTCTCTTAAATATTGTTTTTAATGCTATTTATTTGAGGAAACACCACTTTTAAAGTCCTTCATAAAATAAATTTACATATAATGTTTTCAGAAATATATCTTTTATAAACCCTGTTGTATCTATAGTGAGATTTGTGAAAAATAAAACTAGGATTTATATTTCAAACGAATGTCTCAACAGTTAGCATATGTGTATTAGACTGTTACAAATTTTATTTTATTTGAATTAATACCTCTCCCAGCAAATGATTTAAAAGTCATGTATGAATTCTAACATTTTTATGGTGCATGTGGTCAGTGGCACCATCCAGAGTGTGTGGTGTGGTGCACTCACAGTTGTACACATCTGTGAAACCACTGCCACCAAGACACATAGCTTTTTTAGAGTGTAAAATCTATAATTTATCTTACTGAGTATGTCAAAGCTGATGTAATAAATGGAATCATTTTCATCAAATGTGGAAGGTCAAATTAAATTTGTTTGATCCAAGGGACAAATTTGTAGGTTGAATCTACTTTTGCCCTTTAAACTGACAGAAAATGTGCTCCTTAAATCAAATTTGTCTTTATATTTTAACTGTTAAAATGTGAGCCGATAAGCACCTGTACCTTCTCTGCCTCTTGAGATGGGTAGCTCAAGAGTGGCTTTCTGATCTTGTTCTGATAGATTTTTACCAAGTTATATTCTAACTTTGATAAAATTTGGAATTCAGGTTATTTCCTATGACTTCAGTCTTGGGAAAACATAGTAAAAGTATAGATATCTAACACTATTGTGTTTATAGTTAATAATTTTTTAATTGTTTTATTTATTTTTTCTTTCTTATCCAGCTTGCATTGGTGACTTGGAGAGATTGTCTGTTCAGGCCATTGAATAAACAGGTACCTGCTTGTGTGAGTGGGTGTGTTTTGCTTTTAAAAGTCCCCATTTCATTACTTAACCTTTGTCCTCCTCAGGCCTTTGAGAGATTTCAAGAATATCTGTCATAATGCATTGTTTAATGGCTTTGAATGTTTAAGGAATATGTAGTAATATATATTGTGAAATATATCTTCTGTCTTTATTCTTTCTGAAGGTAACAAATGCTGTTTTAAAACTGATTGAAAAGGAAAGAAATGGTGAGACCATCAATACAAGACTGATTAGTGGAGTTGTACAGTCCTATGGTAAATAATTTCCCTTTAATTTATTCATTTTCATATCGTATGATAATTATAGCAATGCTCTAACAAGATGCATTTTTTAAATATTTTAATATTATCAAGAATGTTGCTAGCATTTACAAAGGTTCTCCTAATTCTCTTCAAGTCAGTGTGATTTTATTGATTTTACCCATCAAAAAAATTGTTTGGTCCTTGTGCCTTAAGGAAATTTGATGGAAAAGAAATACGAATTATTTTCTGGTCTCATTGAATTACTGGATGTAAATATGAGAGAACATTATTGAGCTAAATGATAACCAGAAATCTATATCAGCTTGAAAAATTGAGATTGAGAAACTGATAAAGTAATACAATGTTTTAAAAACTTGGGTAGCATTGTATTTCTTTGAAAGTTTAAAATTAGAAATTTGTATTGCTTTTTCAAATGTAAAAGTTCTCTAAATGAACTTTGTGGTAATTTGGAAGCATATCTGGCCCTGGGTCAGAATTACTTGCCTTTTAGACATCTTGGATTTTTTTCTTTTCTTTTAGTGAAACAAGTGTTCTTTTATACTAGTAAATAAGAGTTACTTTATACCCTCCATTTCACATTGACCTTTTAAGCATAACTTAAACTGAATGCTACACCTAAGTATTTTCTGTGAAATATAACAAAAAATAGGGTGATTGAAATGTAGCTCGTATTTATTTCTAGTGGAATTGGGGCTGAATGAAGATGATGCATTTGCAAAGGGCCCTACGTTAACAGTGTATAAAGAATCCTTTGAATCTCAATTTTTGGCTGACACAGAGAGATTTTATACCAGAGAGAGTACTGAATTCTTGCAGCAGAACCCAGTTACTGAATATATGAAAAAGGTAAGCTGAAACATAGTACGTACAGTAGACATAAGTTGAAATAGTCGTTGCCCCTCGGTGAGGTCTCGGCACCTGCAGCTGTCCTCGCAGCCCTACGTTGGCACTGTTGTCATGTAGTGCGTTTAGCAGGTGCCATGCTCCTGTTTCTCTTAAGACGCTTTTATAAATGAGTTTGTAGTAGTGACCGTGACTGCGTGTTCTCTTTGATGTTCTAAGGTTGTAACCATGAGAGCTGCATGCCTTTCATAGTTGGAGGGTTTCTTCTGGAATGTGGGTCTGTGTCCGTGAGACAATTTTAAGAAATAAGTGTTCTCAGATTTGCAAAGTTAAAGTGTTTGCTTTTTTGTTCCTAGAATATTCCCTAAGAATTTGTAACACAGCCTTCAGGTTTAGATTAGGTTCACATTAGCCTTCTGAAACTGGAGGAGTGGGCCATGTTTCATGTTCCGTGTTCCAAGTTCCATGTTTCATGCATCCTTTTCTTTTTTTGTACTTAGTGATGTCATCATGAAGTTCTAGTGCAATTATTCTTGGTTCTCTTTCTTGAAAATTCAGGTAGCCTAGATGTAGGTTCTCAGAAATGATTAGATCAAGAAGCTGTGAACTTTCTCTGCAGGGCCAGATAGTAAATATTTTAGCCTTTGTGGGCTACGTATGGTCTCTGCTGCAGCTATTCAACCCTGCCATTGTAGGGCAAAAGCAACCACAACATTATGTAAACAAATAGGTATGACTGGGATCCAGTAAAATTTTTTTTACAAAAAACAGGCTGGGAATGTAGCTCAGTGATAGAATGTTTATCTCACCAGTGCAAGGCCCTGGGTTCAATCCTCAACACTTGAAAACAAATAAAGAAACAAAAAAATCATTGGCTGGCTGCAGTGGCACATGCCTGTATTCACAGTGACTGTGGGGGGCCAAGGCGGGAGAATCATGAGTTCAAGGGCAACTTAGGCCCTAAACAACTTAGTGAAACCATGTCTCAAAATCAGAAATAAAAAGAGCTGGGGATGTGGCTTAGTTTTTAAACACCCCTGGGTTCAGTCCCCAGTACCAAACAAAACAATCCAGATAGCAGCAGAATTTGGCATACATGTTATATATAGTTTTCTGACCCAGACCTAGAGACACTAGGAGACTTCCACGGAGCCTCTGGGTCTTACTGAGTCTGATATCTGCTTTGCCCTTTGTCCCCTACTTACTTGAGAGGGAATAGACTACAGAATCACTTTTTCCATACCTGCGGATAGAAAGTGAGTCAGCTTAGAAAATTAGTAAGAGCAATTGCTCTGCTTCTGTCACATGAAGTCCTACCCAATTTGTCTTCAGTGGTCTGAATGTATTTTCCTATGGAAGACAGTTGTTGTAAGTGGAGCTTATACGTTTGAAGTTGAAAGTTCTCAACAAATAAATTTCTAATATCTCAGAATATAACCAACCATTCAAAATTATCATCCTTTGTGTATTTTGAGAGTTAAATTGACCTTTTTTTGTACTGATCAAAAACTAGCTCAACCAGAGTAGTTGTTTTTTTTTCATCCAAAGTTTCCAACAACTGTCTGACACATGAACTTTTGAAACATTATCTGTTTCGAATCTTAGTGCTGCCTGTTATTTCATTTTGTAGTGTGACAATGTAGTTTTCATAAACATGTCTCTTAAATTCTACTCTATGTGTTTGTTCTTCTAAAACCACATTTTATTTTTTATTTTTTTTTGAGAGAGAGAGAATTTTTTAATATTTATTTTTTAGTTTTCCATGGACACAACATCTTTATTTGTATGTGGTGCTGAGGATCGAACCCAGTGCTGGGAGCATGCCAGGCAAGCGCGCTACCGCTTGAGCCACATCCCCAGCCCCTAAAACCACGTTTTAAAAAGTGGAACCACTTATCAGAGTGTATGTCCACAGTAGCCATATGAGTCCTTTTTGTGCACTTCTTAGTGAGTTGTCATTGTCTCAGTTGTCCATGATGATGAAGACCAGTAGCACTCCAGTGCAAGCAAAATAGCTTTTTAGGGCAGAACCACATGAGCAGGAAAGTCTGGAGAGCAGAGATGTGCACTGGCCTGGTTTGACCAGAATGTGCCTGCCTTTAAGGAAACCAGTCGTGTGCTTCCTGCATCCTAGTTGTATAAATTTGATTTCTTCTTCTTCTTTATTCGTTTACTTACATGCAACATGTGGTGCTGAGAATCGAACCCCGTACCCATACATGCTGGGCAAGTGCTCTACCACTGAGCCATAACCTCAGCCCTCTTCTTTTTTTGACAGCAGGAGTTGAACCCAGAGATACTTAATCACTGAGCCACATCCTAGCCTTTTAAATATTTTATTTAGAGACAAGGTCTTGCTAAGTTGCTTGAGCCTTACTAAGTTGTTGACGCTGGCTTTGAATTCCATCCTCCTGCCTCAGCCTCCTGAGCCGCTGGGAAGACTGGCATGTGCCACTGTGCCCAGCAATTTTATTTCATCATAGAGGAATTAAAGGTTTGGCCCAGAGCCATTTGGCTCATACCAAACATGACTTCTAGCACATTTCAAAAGTCTGTAATGCCAAAAGTCTGCAAGCATGAAATTGGAATTGAGAGTCATACAAACAATTTTGCTCTTATTTAATGGCCTTGCATCTGATGCTGGACTGTGAATCTAGGTTAAAATCCCTATGCCACTAAGGAGATAACCTTTCCATTCCTCAGTTTCTCACCTATGAAGTTGGAAATAATAATAGTAGGTAAGAATGAGGATTAAATCAGCCTTAATTTCTAAATAATCTGAGATTTTTTAAAAGTATATATGTATGTATAAAAGTGAGTATAGAAGAGTGTAGGGCAGAAAGCTAGCAGGATGGAAGGCTTTGGTCTTCCACGTGAGTGCCTCCCAGAACCTCAGTGCCTGGGATGCAGCGCCACGGGCAGACAGGAGGCAGCTCTGATTCAGTGACTCAGAAGATTTTTCATTAAGACTGTAAAACTCCTGAACAACACTGAGGTCAAGAGTGGACCTTCAGAAACACGGTGCTTTCAGCAGCTAGTTTGGGCTAGATCCTCAGATTCCGTGAAGCTCACTTTCCTGTTGTCTGGAGTATTTCAGTGGAGACATTTGAGAATCTGGCGCATCCTTCTAAGGACGGCTTTGATGACTGAACAACTGGAAGCCACATTAATGTTTTTAAAATATCTTACTGTCCTATGTGACTGAGACTAATCTAAGCTACAGAAACTTTGACTATTCTGGGTTCCTAATGTTTCTTTTTCTTAGTTTTTTAACTTCAAAATTAAAATAATGTCAATTAATTTGCTCACCCTTTATGGTCTGCTTTTCTTTTTTTAAACCTGAAACTGATCCTAACAGAATTAATTTAGGGTAATCTTTTGTAGGTTACTTCTACTTTGAATTTGATCTCGGTGTTCTAAAACTGTCTGCCAAGCACAGTGATGAAGAGCTTGCTTGTCTTAAAGAGTTTAGGAAGAGGGTAAAAGGTTATCCTTTCTAAAACATGCCCACACCCAGCACCTGGGCCCATGGCTGATTCACCAGTGTGTGACATAAGCTCCGGCAGAGCCCCTATGGCCACGAATGCCTCCCCAGTCCCTTGGGCACCTGCTTGCTCTCCTGCTGCTTGGCTCTTTCGGGAGGGGTTTGTGAAATGCTGCTATTTCTAGCTTAAGAGGGGGAAAGCCAGTGCCCCTCAGTGAATCAGCAGTGACGTGGAAGCCTAATGTTTCATCTGGGCAAGAAGTATAAAGTTTGTCTAGCTGCCCAGGGGGATTATGTCCTTCCAAGAAACAGGCGTAACTTGATCCAGAGCAAGGGTGCTGCTGGGTCTCCATCTTCTGTTTCATCAGCCTTCATCCTTGAGGTACTGGCTGGAGGAAATTCTGCAGTTTTGCCACCAGATCTGAACTGGGAACTCCTGGGTGAAGCACAGAAAGTGTCTCATTATTTTAATAGGACTTTATGATCAGAGAAACAGAATTACACAGGCTTTCAGGAAAATAAAAATAATATGACCCTGCTAGCCTGGGACACTTAAGTGATTGTGTATATAAACCAGATTGGAATATTGCGATGGGTTTTTTTGTAACCTCTCCATTAATGATTCGTTGTGTTAACATTTTATATTTATTTTGGTGGATAATTATATTTCATTTACCAAATATGCTATAGTTTATTTTAGCATGTTGAATTAGGTAAAATTGATTTCCTTTTAATTGGAAATTTAATAACTTCAAACTTTTTACATTAATTTGTGCATTATCTCTTCCTTTCCTTTCTCGTGTTTTATTCAGATGCATTTGCTGGTGTGCTCTGCATCGTCACACATTAGGACTACTGTCCAAATCCACTTTCACCTTAGCCCTCAGTGGCATGTGTGATAAGGCTGCAGCTCTGTTCTGTGGTTTAACACCTGTCCCCTGGTTGCTCTGGGTAGCCCAAGCCTTCCCAGCCAGTTGTTTTATGTTTTCTTGGCTCTTGAGTATTTCTTCATTCCCAGTTGAATTTTTCCAGGTTTACCCAAAATTATACCAAATTCAAAAATCATTTTGAGTACTGGCATTTTTACAATTCAAAAGAAGTTTTTGTTTCTTTATTCAGATTACATGAATAATTTGAGACTGTCGATGACATTTACTCCATGCTCTGACGATTTAGTGCTTCCTTGGTGATGCTGTGCACCACACTTTTTGGTGATGGAGTCTAAAATTCGCTGACTTTAAGTCATTTTGCTCCTCTGTTCAAGTGCCTATTTTTCTCTCCTCCTTGGAGGGAAACACAGGAAATCGAGGTGTGTAAGTAACCCAGTGGATTGGCAAGAGATGGCTAGCTATATTGTTTTTCTTTACATGTTTTGAAGGCTGTATATTTTTTTCTTTAAAACTTTTTTAAAGCCTTATTGCTAATGCTTATTCCTGAGTAATCATTTCCAGGATTGTGATGGTGTGATCCTTGACTTTAGGCAGCCTTCAATCAAAAGTAGAGCTTTTTACATGGTGTCTATGTTCAGGGAGGGTCTTTAGGTTTTTCAGGTTGGAGACATTAACACCCCAAAAAGGTGAAATATCACTTATCTGAAGGAGAAAAATTGTTGTAAAGATATTCAAACTGTTAATAATAGTAGCTCTGTCAGGGCTTTTGGATAGGACTTGAAACACTTCTGTGTATTTAAATATGGCCACTTAAATATCCCCTTTTTCATAATTTATTTTATTAGAACAGATTTGTGAATTTAATTTTCCATTATTCACTTTACAGTTCTTTAAAAGCAAATCAAAACCACTCAATTAATTCTCTGCAGGCAGAGGCTCGTCTGCTTGAGGAACAGCGAAGAGTTCAGGTTTATCTTCATGAAAGCACGCAAGATGAGCTGGCCAGGAAATGTGAACAGGTCCTTATCGAAAAACACTTGGAAATTTTCCACACAGAGTTTCAGAATTTATTGGATGCCGA